ATAGATTGCACAGATTTATAATAATATTTAAAATTGATGATAAACAACAAACGCACGTCTGCTTGCGACGACCGCGAAAGGCGGAAAAAAATTATCAACGCGCACATCATTTCATAGCATCGTTTCCGACTCAGCTGTTTCTGAATTACAGATCAAACACCATTTTAAGTAGTACCTATTTATGATAGATAGGTAAAATTTATTTAAACACTGATATACGAGTCTAACTTTTAGTTCATTCTTTAATGGTCCGACAAATCAGATTGATATTACGATAATAAAAAAAAAATGATATGCGACATAATTCACAAACGATTTTGGCGTATTTAAAAATAAATATTTGCGAATTACTATTTGTACTTTACCTTTTCACTTCCTTATTCACTGTTTAAGCATTACTTGTGAGGTTCACTCACCTACACTTTATTAGGCACTTAATTTTATTCCACAAGAAAAAACTAAAGATCGCGGCCAACCTCTGGTTCACTGACGTTTCAGTATAATTACATCTTTTCAAAATAGTCTCAATTTATATCAATACAACACTGCATCCCATGTAACACTGATAAAAGCACTTTTCATAGAACTCGGAATTAGAGAACACGGGCATTTTCGAAACGTGATCACATCGACGACGTATGAACAACTGAATAAAGAAAAAGTGATAAAAAGGGAAAGCCGCCAATTTGAGTCCTTTATTATAAGCCGCTGCATAGTGTGCGGCATGTCAAAGGCGCACAGAAAGGTACCTATAGTTCCGCAATTAAATCTGAGAAGTAGCGGGATAGGGTTGCCTTCTTCTCTTATTAGATCGGAAATTTTGTCCTTAAAGCCGGACTAAGTCAAATCTCTCGCGAAGCCGTAAAACAATATTACCGTAGTAGACAGCAATATTAGTTCACGGCTTCGCGAGGGTTACTGCCTAGTTATTCAGAGGGTGCGTTAAGCAAAAATCACTAACTTTCAATTGATTTTGTAGTAAGACGTTACATACAAATAAGCGGTAATTAAAGATAAGATAACTACATCATAATTTTAACGCTTTTATCACAGCCAAAACGTGAATTCATAAAATAAGGCTTGATCGTAACATCAAAACTGCACAACCTATTTTGAAAAAGGTTTTTTTTATAAAGTAATTTCGGAGACTATACGATGCAAACAAACTAACGATTTGTATTCAAATTTCGCAAATGCCCGTGCAACACTGCGTCTTTTTGGGTATTTGACGTTTTTCGAATTTGTGTGTATTCATAGTTTATTTGATATAGCTTCGGCACAGGTATACCAAAAACCTATGAAAACTATACCGCCGGACATGTGACATTAACATTTAGCTGCACACAATCTAAAAAGTCAAACATGTCCCGCTAAAGACGGATAGATGACAACCCTAGACAGGCGGCAATGTTAAAGTTTGAGCCTAAACTTCTAGTTGCCTAGTACCGAGGTGATCAACATTTTATTGTACAAATTAAAAAAATCATTGTTGCAACTAATTTTTTTACATACGTACGTAAGTACATAATACGTTACGTATTAGGAATTGTTAATTGACAAAGATTTTGTAAATTTTTATTGTTGTTGATAAGATAGTACATGGTTGTATTTTTAGTATTTACAAATTTAAACGTTGTTAATGTTTGGTAAAGACTAGTTTAAGTGAGAAATGTGATATACTTTCACGCTGCACCTGCAAACGAGCATGCTTGGCTCAGTCTGTAGAGAGGAAGTAGCATCGACTATCATAAGACATCGTTAAATAAATAAATTAATGTATTTCGTGGGCCGTAGTAATCTGCATACAATCGACATACCTGTTTAAAATTTTAATTCATTTTATACACCTTTTCTATTTTGAACTATTTTTCAAATAAATGACCATTTGTTTGTTAGCTGTGTCGGTCGTTTTAGGGCTTTTTCTATTTAAGGAAATAGGTAAACAGTACATAATAAAACGTCTCAATCATTTTCATTTCTTACAGCATTAAAATAGTGAATCCTATACTCTGATTCTAAAATTCAGTTGAATAGCCCACAGTAATAAAATAGATAATAAATTAAAATCCGTGCCAAATGTTTACTACTACCGTATCTAGCGTCAAGTAGTCACTCGCGCGCGACATCACACAAACACGAACGATAATGTTTCGTTTCTTTCTCTCTCTCTCTTTCCCTCCCTCTCTATCTCTATCTTACGTCATTGTACACTCGGGGGAATAAGTGAATTTGTTTTAGGCTCGATTTTACCGATTATGTATTGATTTCTCTTACGTATTTAAATACCTAAACAATAAAAAATATTTTTAAGAGTTAAGCTAATGAAGTTATTTCTTAGCACCGGATACAACCCTTCCTGCGCGAGTCCAACTCTCACGTGGCCGGTTTTTTTTTTATAATTAGTTGTTAGCAGTTTGATAAAACTAGGACTTTTGACTAGTGAAATATAAAAAAACTTCAGTTATTGAGAATATTCAGTTGAGATTTTGTACTTTTCTCAATTCAGAAAGCGGCTCTTTGTCGACATTTTTTCTTGTCAGATGCTTTTAAGACACCTAAGTGTAGTGCATGTCATTAACTCTAAGGTAGCAATCCATTTTACTTGAAACAATTTACATGTAGTAAGAGTAAGTGGTTGAAACCATAATCGGGAATGATCATATTCCCGATTAAGGTTCATATTCCATTTTAAGTCTGATCTTTTTATTGTAAAAATATTAGAAAAGAAATAAATTGACCATAAACACAATTGAAATATGTACACGAATATTGATCAATGTTTCAATTTATTCCCCGACTGTATCTGCGCTGACGTCATATTAGGTTTACTTTCGTAACAGAAGATTGTAGGTACGAGTACCAGGTTATCATGATTTAAAGACACGATGTGTAAAAATTCTGGTTCAAAGATGAAGCAGCTACAGATAGACAAAAATACCGAAGACACTCAGTGATATACGTCGCCTACTTTCATAATATTGTAATTATTTTCATAAAAATGAAACTACCTAATTATGAAAAAAAATTGTTCGTGCAATAACGAATATTCTACTTATCTAGAGGTCGCGATATTTCTTCTTCCTCTGCTTCTCTATTTGTTTAGATTAGATGAAATTGATTTTATGAGTACATTATTGAGTCACGTGTCGTAGCATTAATTATAAAGATTATTATTTTGGATGGGCCGTCTACAGTTCGTAAAGAGATATTGTACGAGCATTTCAGCATTTCAAAGTATTTAATCCAGTGCAGTGACTATAGCATACTGTTTATTGTTTGTTTCCGTGCCTGATATGTGCGTAGCACGGGCATAGTAATATGGCAAGGTATATTGGAAAGGGAGCTCTAATTTGAATAAAAACGAATTTTAGAAATAGTTTTAAAATAATGTTTTCGTGTAATATTTTGCATGTTCGAATATTTGCGTAAATACACATAACTAGATAAATTATTTCGCTGTACTGTGACGTAGGCACTAAATACCAGTAGATATAACCAGTCTGGCAAAATAATAGTCTTTGATTTAGAAGTCAATGAACTGAAACAGCTGATCATAATGTCGATGTGCTTCGATAAATGGTATCGAAAATTTTGCTAAACTTCGATATTGTTTTTTTCAATAAATACAACGGCTACGATATAAAGGACAGCGTCCATTATCTCAGTTTTATGTATACTCAATGCCATTTTCGGGGTAACGGGTTTTTTTGTAACACGCGGTATATACTTATCAATGAGGTAGTATTTAAAAAAAAATCGAATTTAAAACCTAAAAATGCCACCGCAAAGTTCATTTAGCACCGTAAAATTTGGCTTGCGAGCCTCAGTAAACCGGCTGATGTGCAACAACCGGACGGCTCGCGAGCCGCACCCCATTGGCCCTCGAAACGCAGCCGGACGACCCGTGAGCCGCAACAGATCGGTCACGATAACAGTTAAATTATTTTGTGAAAGACAAGATGACTTACTTTGCTCTATTACCCATTTTATTGCTTCAGATGGTATCACCAAGCGATTTCATCACTCTCCGGGAGTTACACGACTAACAAGGTGAGTCACCTGAAAGCAATGGCTTTCTTGATCAGCTTAAGATCCTGGCTCAAGAGACCTCGGGGTTGGATCAAATGGAGAATGTTAGACCGAATGCGAGAAGAGCTCTTCGAAGAAATTTGATATTATAGATTATAGACGAGATTAGTGACCGATATTGACAGATTGTGTAATCTCGTGAGCAAACAAACACTTGTAATTCTCCATACATATTATAAGGGCGAATCGTGAGATAATGCTCGTTAATATTGAATTGTATGAAAAGCCTTTTAAAAAGATTAACAAGATTATTGTGCTAAAAAACTGAAATATGAAAAGTCTCAGTTAATCAAAATATGATTGTCACAATATTTGAAATAGACAAATATCCTCTGTACTTGATATCTTTTTGGGTTCACTTTCCGAATGGGAGTACTCTACTGATATAAGTAGTAATTCCGTTTACAAGACTAAATAATTTATAAGAGAGTAAGAGAACAAATGTTTCTACATTTGAATTTGATTCTTCTAGTGATATAAAACCATAAATAATATAAGTATTCGCTAAATAATCATGTCAAAACGTTCTTTGACGACTATTATTTTCAATGCATTAAAAATTACGAAAGAAAAATCACATCCACGTATCTACCAAAAAGTGCAAATTTTTATAGACTTTAGCTTAAACAAGAAATTTGAATTTGAATTCTGTCTAACCAGACTAACACAAAATCAATAAGTATTAAACATTGCTTTCTTCGCAATATCAAATCATTTCTCATATAATATTTTGTGATTTAATGATAGGATTGATTCTTATTTAGTGACTGGTGGTTTCGCTAGTATAAAAAGGTGGTTAGCAAAATTCGGTAGTTTTTTACTTACTCACTGAATAGCAAAGTCGACCGTTGGCAACATAGTGTTATACTGGCAACACGTTAGTTAAATAAAGATGGCGCAATAAATTGTCAAATTGCTGTGTTTGGTTGCGTAGTGCGTGCAGTGAAATAATTTTGATTATATTTTATAAAAGACTGTTGTCGTAAGTTCGGTGAAGTTTCTTTTTTTTATTGTTTTTTATTTAAATTCTAAAGATTGCAAGTCTCGTATACTGGAAGCAAATGGATAAAAATACTTCTTTGGAGATAAAAGATGGTGATACGACGCAACCTCTTTTAATTGAGGCGCCACCTATTAGGGAAGTAGAGAAACCTACAGATGGGATTGTCAAAAAAAAGAGAAGGCGCGGCAAAACCAAACGAAAAATTATGAAACCGTTTCTTAAAGTACCTTGGCAAGATAGAAGAAAATACGATAAACCCAAGAGAAATAATAGATTCCGAAAAATTGTAGTGGCCAAGACACGCGCTCCTTTCAATAATAATCAATTTTTAATGGAAATACATAAACCAGAACCGGAAAATAATTTTCATCTAGCGCAAACTCCTTCAGCACGAACACGGGATTCCAGTTTTAGCATCGATTCTGAAGATAATTACTTCTTCTCTTTGCCTGAAGATGAAGAAGAGTACTTGACTAAAGAGTTTTCTAGTGTTTATGAAGACGCTCAAACAGAACGTTTATCCAACATGTCTAAAAACGAATTGATTCAAGAGTACCTTATTCTTGAAGCAAAATACGACAGTCTCGTAAAGAGGACCGATCGCTCGAAACCTAAGCTCTCAGATGAGGAGAAAGATGGTAATGACACGGACAAAGATAATATGTCAACAACTGATAAGGATAGTATGGTAACAGACAGAGATACTTCTGGTACTTCCAATCAATCCAGTACATTATATCCGGTTGAACCTACTATTGCCGATATGTTACAGCGCTTGAAAGAGCAAGAGGACCAAATTCGCGAATTGAAATTGGCAAATGAAAAGTTACATCAAGAAAATGAACATTTACAACAAGCATCTCAAGGTTCAACAAGTGAAGATTCAGAAAGTGACAGTTCATCTAGTTCAGATTCTTGCAGTAGCTCAAGTCGTAGTAACAGTCCAGCAAACAATTTACAATCAGCAGAATCGAATGATATTATTTTAAATGAAAATGAGATTATGAATCTAAATGGTGAAAACGGAATAATTGATGCATCAGAAACTGAATGTCCGCTTGTAAATGGTTTTCATAGTCCAAATGAAAAGTAGTGTTGTATATCAGTGACCAAAGTTGATTAATGGATCAAAATAATTGTTGAGTATGTAAATAATAATTTTATGATTGCTTAATATTTTAAACCAATATGAATTCAATTTATAATTGATGTGTTGCAGACTTTTTGTTAATTTATGATTATTATTAATTAGCGCTTTGATTGTCTTAACGTCAGTAACATGAGTTGTAACTCTTTATTGGCATGATTTTATGGATTTTTTATCAATTCTCTTATTGCTTTGTTTCTTAATGCTTAAACACTTAATTATTTATAATGTTTTTGAAAAATAGGAAGTCACAAATATATAGAAAATTATAATATAACAACTCCAACAATAATTCTGCAACATAACAAATTGAATGGTAGGAACAAGTTAAGCATAATGCATTTAGTTACTTTGCTATGATATTTTAATGCCCTGTTGTACAAATTATTATATTCTTTATCACTGTGGGAATATAAATGTGGGATCTCATGTTAGGTTTAGTGAAATTATTCTGTGATATCCCTGTGGATATTTTGTCAGTAGTAAGTTGTGCATGTCAAAGGTGTAAGTATTCCAGTTCAGTTAAGATCTCACTTTTATGTTTAAACGGTGAGTGTTTATGCTCTAGATTTAAGGACAAAGTGTAAATGAAGAGGTTAATATATGTATTATTATACGAGATTTAGGCAAGGAAGAATGAGGATGTATTATACTAATTTGACTGGTTGTGTATTACCTATGTGACCTACCAGATGATATTCTTTTTGTTTATTTTAAAATATTCATTAATTCATGTACTACTGTAAAGCTTCAATTTATACTTTGCCTTTAAAAGGCAAATTAAATTGCCAAATTTTTTATTTAATTTTTATGCAAAAATTAAAAATACAATGCTTAGATTTTTAAACACAACAGTTTTCAATGGTTAATACAAAATAAGGACTTAAATTTCTTAATCCAACACTATTACATTAATCTCAGATTGCAGCCACACATAGGGTCAGGTAGTATTAGAATGTGTTATGAAGATTTATGGAAGATGCTGTATGATGATTATTTTGTTATTTTCGAAGATAAACAAAAATGTCATTTAAATTCTGTGTCATAGGCATAGTGTTTAATTTTTTTTCATAAATATTAAGATGTATTTCTTTTCTGCTAATACAATAAAGACAGTAATGTCTTAGAAACCGGAGTGTTCATTATCCACAAGTTGAGAATGCAATCTTGACCCATTTAGCCCCTTATTTATCAGTCTGTTACGAAATAAGGGACAAATAGACAAGTTACGTAATTTTGCTCAAAATTAAATAGGAGATAATCGAGCCCTTGTGGCGCTGCTGAGCTGATGTTCTCTGAACTCTGTATTTATTTCTAATGGATTGGCTATTTGACAGTTATTACAATAAATAATGAAATATGTTATAAATGATAAATTATATGTGAACAATAACTTTGTAGTATTTTGTGTGTAAAAATAAATTATAAGTATATTTTAGTTTTTCAAAATTGAAATTTACATCCTTTGGATTACAATGAGCATACTGTGACACCACATTTCAACATATTAAACGTCAACGTTTTACGAGTGCTACCAGAGCCCTACAATTTTAAATTCATTTGAAAGATTAACTTCATGCTACAATCTAGATTACATAATATCACTACAACTATTTGATATGAAAGAGCGATTGCGATCGCGACGTTTAATCATACTCAACCTGCAGCACACAACCCCTATCGACGCGATAAAAGAAAATATGAAATCAAGTCAAAAATGAAAACCTACAGATTCTGCCTGCCAAACCTAGCAATGTGAAAGTGCTTCAAAAACCTGACGAATCAAAATCAATGTTACACTATCTAAACAAAATTAACTATCCGAAGAAAAATTTGAATTTGATCCATAATTATTCTGATTGTAGGTTTTATATGCCGGCACAAAGACTCGCTTATCTCGGAAACTACGTAACTTAGGCATTGGTCCCTATTTTGTAACGGACTGATAAATAAGAAACTAAATAGTTCAAATAAAAAACCATATCAGAATCCAAGAGGATAGCGCTGCTAGCCTGACGGACACTAAAGACAATTAACTATGATATACAAACGAACGAACGGACAGACATAGACATCCGAGTAATGCTAAGTTTTCTTTTTGAGGTGCGGAATTTTAAAGACAATTTAAAAACCACGTAGCTTCAACTTTGAACTTTCCACAAAATTACAATAAGGTCCAACGGTGAAGCATAATTAATATCAAATCGGTCTTAATATACCTACACAGGGTGATGTCACCAGTCATGTGCAGTTTGTTCACATTGATTTAGTTTTTTATATTTTAGCAACAAAGATTTCATGGAAACATTTAAATGGCGGCGACTTTTCTACTAAAAGAAACATTGGATTTTTTTCATCGTTGGAAACGACTTGTATGTAGTATACACAAAAAAAACTTTTTCTAAATCATTCAAAACACTAGTAATCAGCTAAAATCCTGTAAAGGTGCACCATTTAAGGATTATACCGTTTTATAGGTGCATCACAATGTCTAATAAAAAAGTATGTGTAATACTTTTGTTCATACATTAATTAACCTGTTGTATTTAAGCCAGTTTTTGAAATTTGATTAAAAAATAATGGTGCTAATGAAATTGGGCAAAGACTATCGATATACCAAAATATCGATATTTTTTCTAAAAAAATCGATATAAATCAACGATTTTTTTTCCTCGATATATCGGCTTTCGATATTTATTTTCAGATATCAAATTCGTATCAAAATTGATATTTTTTTAAAGTTCTGCTGTCTGCTCATGCGTCACATCGTGTATTTCGTATATTTAAAAAAAGAATATGTAGGCTGTATGAGTTTAATCTATTATGTGCTTGTCTTTTTTGTTTGTCTATGATAGTGGTCGACAAAACGCGGCCCGCGAACGTCTTAATTGCAGCCCGTAAGTGTCTGGTTAATAAGTTTTAAATATCGAAATAAATTCATGAACGAATCGCGATCGGCTGGATAACGTGGATCCAGTGTCAAGTCATTTTGAAATGAACATGATTGATTTCAAATGGAATGAATCTCTGAAAAGCTCTTTCAGGGAAATCAATGATCTTATTAAATTTTATGGCAGCTTGCCATCTTATGGCGAATTGAGAAGGTTGACTCAGCAGATAATAACAATTTTTGGTAGCACTTATTTATGAGAAGAAACGTTTTCAATTGTGAATTACAGGAAAAATAAATATGCTTCTCGTCTTTCAGATGAGCATTTGAGAACTTATTCTAACCAAATGCAACCTCAAACATCACACTGAAAGAATCATGTTCAATTTTGACCTCAATATTTATTAACGCGTTTAGTGAAAGACATATCTCAAAATGTAGCTTATTTTTTACTTATTTAATCGTGTAATTAAGTCTTAAAATAATTCAGGATAAAATTCGCGAGGCTGATAAATATTTTCAAAAAGTTATCCCTATGCGATTCCGACCCTACACTGTCAGTTTGCTACACTATCCCAATGGTATTCGGACCGTACGATGACGGTTTGTTAAAAATATATGGTATGCAGCGTTTCTTTTCTTCTACTACAGAAAATATTATTCTATTAAGATTATAAATGTGATAGTTTCTTTGTTTGGATGTTTGTTCGCCAATGACGCCGAAACTACTGAACGGATTTTGATGAAATTTGGCATACAGATAGGGTATTAGCTGTCTTAGGTAATAGAATACTTATCCCACTTAACATTTCCCTAGGGACCACGCGGGCTAAACCACTGGCGAAAACTAGTTTCATCATAAGGATAAAAAGTACACATTAACAATAACATATTAATTTATTCCCACATTTACTTTGTAGTCTTCATTCGGTGTACGATATAAATATTAATTACATTTTCATTTTTCTCTGTGATATGACCAATTATTCGGGGACTATATTAGGCTTCTAAGGTTAATTATCACAAGTGTGGCCCGCCTTTAGTTTATTTGCCACTATGTGGCCCTTGCTTACCAAAAGGTTGCCGACACTGGTCTATGACTATGACACTGCTTGTTGGTTTGGTTGGTATCACTGAGTGTGCTCCTGATGTCAATATCAGAAAAATTTTCATTGATAATCGCTTATCACGCAGAAAATATCGATATATTAACATATCGATATGTTTATCGATATTTATCGATATATTTGAAATAAATCGATATTTTTTCCCATTTGTCCAAACCTAGAAAACACTAAAAAAGCAACTCCATTAGATGGCGACTCTAGCAAAAGTTGATTTTTACTAGTGATGTTCCGGATATCCGTATCCGTATCCGCGGATATCCGACGGAAAATAAAGATCCGTATCCGTTACTTTACTCGCGGATAATTTACGGATCTTTTAACTTATTAATTTTCAATTGATAGGATGAAATGCTATATATAGGTGATTAGGTAGATTTAAAAAACTATAAAATTCAATTCAAGTATTTATTATTTCTTAAAATCAAATATTTGGCACCTTTATATTGCAAACATTTATCGTAGTAGGTAAGTTACTATACCAATAGTAGATAACTCAAAGGTCAACTATCTTTATAATGAGATCAATATTATAGAAAGTTATAACATCACTTTTATATATATAAGAAAACGAGAAAACCAAAATTTAAATCTTTTTTATAATTATAATGAGATCAATATAATAAAAAAATATAAGTTATAAGATCACTTTTATAACTATGAGATGATGAGAAAACCAAAAATATATTCTAATGAAGTAAATTAACACTGCGTACCTAGTAGGTACTACCTACCATATAAAGTGTAAACATTGAATTACATGAGCAAACACAGTGAAAATTAGAGGAACTTGAAACATATAGTATATATATATATATAAAGATCCGTATCCGTACCCGTATCCGTGGATCTTGACACCAAATATCCGTATTCGGATCCGTATCCGCGGATATACATTTTTAATGATCCGGCACATCACTGATTTTTACAGGAAACGAATAGATCAAATGCAGTCACTTCCTTTCCTTTTAACTAACTTAATGAAAAACTGAAATTTGAAAAGTTTCAAACTTAGATATCAATACAAATACGATAAAGTACAAATAGATTATGAGTTGTTTATTGAGTTTTGAAAACTACCTTGGACCGTGTACGTTGTACCTTGCACTAGGCAGGTTCAAATTGAAATAAACACTTTTATTAGCTATAACTTATTTATTTTCTGTTGAATAATCATTTGAAATAATTGGATAATCATTTTAGCATTTGCAACTTACAATTATTTCAGTTATTAGCAACAATAATCAAGTAAAAGTTTGGAAAAACCTATCCTATCTTTTTGTACTAGGTATTCTTTTCAATATTTTGACATCAAATTACGTCCAAAAGTTTTCATATATGTCCAGGAGGTATCATTTAATATTAGCTGGCTGATTTAAATACGTTTTAAACGACCCAAATACTGATTTGTCCAACGGTTGGTGGTGTATGTAATGTAACAACAACCAGACCATTTTCTTTTGCCATGCGAATTGCTCGAATAGAAATGTGAATTTCGTGATTGTCCACGAGAGCAAAGGCAGGCCGCTCTTTAGAAGGTCTTGCAGATTTTATAAAATGATTCATACATATCACAAAAGTGACTTTACGCATCTGTAACAGCGATTCCTCTTCCAGCGCTTGTCACGGATTCTACTTGCTTAACTCCAGTTGGTGCCAGAATTTTTGGAGGGACGTGCACTGAATACTTACAATCCTGTCTCATCTATAATCCAAATGTTGCATGCAAATCTGGCGGGCATCGCGATAGAGCTTTCTTGTAATTAATGAAATTCAGCTTAACGAAGAGAGTGCTAAATAACGCGTAAATATAATGGTAAAACAAAGATAGTGATATCA